CATCTCCCTGTTGTTAAGTTACCATAGGGGGACCAGACCTCCTCTTTTTCCCGGAAATGTCCTACTTTTCATACAGTTGTGGTCAAAAGTGTACCTACACTTGTAAAAAATCATAATGTTATGGCTTTCTTGAGTCTTCAATAAGTTCTACAACTCTTATTTTTCTGTGATAGAGTGATCGGAACACATACATGTTTGTCACAAAAAACAGTCATAAAATTTGGTTCTTTCATAAATTTATTATGGGTCTGCTGAAAATGTCACCAAATCTGCTGGGTCAAAAATATACATACAGCAACAAAATTTGTCAACTTTGGTGATGTAGCGAGTTGTGTCAATCAAATTAGCTTCATGTCATGGCCTCTTCACTTCTTCTAAGTGATTCTGATTGACTACAGCTGTTGACTTCTCATGAGCCCATTTAAATAGGGCTCATTTGACCCAGTGATTAGACTCAGCTACAAAAGCTACAATGGGAAAGTCAAAGGAACTCAGTGTGGATCTGAAAAAGCGAATTATTGACTTGAACAAGTCAGGGAAGTCACTTGGAGCCATTTCAAAGCAGCTACAGGTCCCAAGAGCAACTGTGCAGACAATTATACGCAAGTATAAAGTGCATGGAACAGTTGTGTCACTGCCACGATCAGGAAGAAAACGCAAGCTATCACATGCTGCCGAGAGGAGATTGGTCAGGATGGTCAAGAGTCAACCAAGAATCACCAAGAAGCAGGTCTGCAAGGATTTGGAAGCTGATGGAACACAGGTGTCAGTCTCCACAGTCAAGCGTGTTTTACATCGGCATGGACTGAGAGGCTGCCGTGCAAGAAAGAAGCCCTTGCTCCAGAAAAGGCACCTTAAGACTCGGCTGAAGTTTGCTGCTGATCACATGGACAAAGATAAAACCTTCTGGAGGAAAGTTCTCTGGTCAGACGAAACAAAAATTGAGCTGTTTGGCCACAACACCCAGCAATATGTTTGGAGGAGAAAAGGTGAGGCCTTTAATCCCAGGAACACCATGCCTACTGTCAAGCATGGTGGTGGTAGTATTATGCTCTGGGGATGTTTTGCTGCCAGTGGAACTGGTTCTTTGCAGAAAGTAAATGGGATAATGAAGAAGGAGGGATTACCTCCAAAATCTGCAGGAAAACTTAAAACCATCAGCCCGAAGGTTGGGTCTTGGCCGCAGTTGGGTGTTCCAACAAGACAATGACCCAAAACACACATCAAAAGTGGTAAAGGAATGGCTAAACCAGGCTAGAATTAAGGTTTTAGAATGGCCTTCCCAAAGTCCTGACTTAAACCCCATTGAGAACATGTGGACAGTGCTAAAGAAACAGGTTCATGCAAGAAAACCATCACATTTAGCTGAACTGCACCAATTCTGTCAAGAAGAGTGGTCAAATATTCGACCTGAAGCTTGCCAGGACCTTGTGGATGGCTACCAAAAGCGCCTAGTTGCCGTGAAAATGGCCAAGGGACATGTAACCAAATACTAATGTTGCTGTATGTATATTTTTGACCCAGCAGATTTGGTGACATTTTCAGCAGACCCATAATAAATTTATGAAAGAACCAAATTTTATTAGTGTTTTTTGTGACAAACATGTATGTGTTCCGATCACTCTATCACAGAAAAATAAGAGTTGTAGAACTTATTGAAGACTCAAGACAGCCATAACATTATGATTTTTTACAAGTGTAGGTACACTTTTGACCACAACTGTACCTGAAAAAACGTCCGAGGGGAATTTAGAAATCGTCCTGGATTTTGGTCGACTACAGTGCAGCAGAACCGAGCCGTCAAGTCCGCGGTGAAGTTGGTTTGGAGTTGGATATTCAAGCTCCGTGGGGTCAGCGGGATCTAGCAAACGGTTGATCCGACTGAGGGACTCTCAGCTGCACCCTCCTCCCACACACTGTGGTGCAGTGTGTGGGAGGACTCAAGTCTTGAGAAGGCCTGTCGCAATTATCAATTAATCGCACAATAAATTCTAATCACTTGATTAATTAAAATAAGTGCAATAATTTGTGTGCTTTCTTGTTTCTCCTTGTGTTTTCATCTCCGTCACTGAGATGGTATAGCTTAAAGGTCACTATTATATCTATGGAATGATCATTATCTTTGTCATGTTGGGTTATGGAAGCTAAACCCAAACGCAGAACACCACGGAGACTGGATGAAAAGTTCAACAGTTTATTAAAGAAAACACAATCCAGATGATTGTACTGATACAGAATGAGTCCAGGCTGGTCACACAGGATACTCTGGTCTTTGGTTCAGGCTGAGAGAGGAAACCAGAGGAGTCCAGAGGCAGAGGGATTAGCAGAGGGCTAGGCAGCAGCAGGGCTAGGCTTCTCACTAGCTGAGACTCAGTCCTTGGGTTACTCTAAGTTCTCACCTAGAGAACAGGCAGGCAGATTCGGCTGTAGATCTCCTGGTTGGCTACCAAGAGCAGGAAAGCAGGTTTCTGATGATGAGCTCCTCCAGAGTTCCTGAGATGCGGCAGGCAGATTTCAGCAAGGGAGATTCTTCCAGAGTTTCCAGGATTCAGTTAAGAGCTGGTTGGCTGGCTTCAGACGATGAGTTCCTCCAGAGCTCCTGAGATGCGGCAGGCAGAGTTCGGCAATGGAGACTCCTCCAGAGTCCCAGGGTTCAGTCAGGTTTCTTCCTAGAAGCAGAGAAGACACAACTGATCAGGTTCTGGTTCTGGTTACAGTGGAGTCAGAGAATCAGACAGGCTGGTTGGCTGCAAATTTTTTTCCAGTTAAATTTTGCATCTTTATTTTTTTTCTTTCCATAACAACAATTTTCTTACAGTATTTACCTGACATTTGTGGTTACAACTTTTTCCAGTTTTAGGAGTAAATGTCTGCTCTTTTATTTTTAAGTGAAAATGAGGACTGTGGGGAAAAAAAATCACAATCCTGCCTTTTATTAATACATATGAAGTTAGCAACTACAACAGATAAATAAAAACCCTAAATAAATACCAGGACAATAACAATTCTTTCGTAAAAGAAACATTGTGGCAATAACTTTTTGTAACTTAATGCCCTGGAACAGACAGAACCGACTTGGCGGGCAGTATTTTAAATTCAATTCAGTTTATTTATTTAGTGCCAATTCACAACATATTTCTCCTCTACGACTGCCTTGTAGTTTTTAAAGCTTGGCTTGTCGACCATGCATGCATGCGCACGGGCGCGCGGGCATATATGTCACGTAGTGTTGCGTCATTGACGTCAGTGCTACGTGACAGTTTGACAGCCACTCTGCCGTTTTTTTTGTTTTTGTTTTTTTTTACCTCTGCTGTGTGCGGGTAAGGCGAGCGGCGATCAGTCAAGTTAGTAAAACAAAAAACACTAAGAAATAAAATATTGTTCACAAGTCAGAAATCACGAGTCTAAGTCGAGTCTGAAGTCATTAAATATGCGACTCGGGTACGAGTCACAAACTCGAGTTCCCATCTCTGACTCTTGATAAAACAAAAATCAATAAATTCCTTATCTTATGACCAGCTAAGAAGAAACTAATATAAAATCATGCCAATAGATAACATGTGTAAGGCACATTTGCTTTTATGCAATTTTAAGCTATTTTCATTTTTTATGATATTTTTAAAGACAAACGTTGGGACTTTTCTTCAATAGCTTCCAGGTCATGTGACCCACTAACTTCTAATCTATGTCAAATTGTTCTACTGCAGAGGTCTTCAACAGGGTGTCTGGGACCCCTAGGGGGTCCGCAGAGGTACTGCATGGGAGTCGTGAAAGTTTTGGTTGATTAGACTTTTTTTTATATATTCCATGCTGCCACTAATTGAAATGTCTTTAAATCCACAATAACATGAATTCAACACACTGTACTAAACAGATAAATGGAGGCAGAAGATGTCTTTCAGTCATCAATGCAGATCTGCGTTTCTGAGTAAAAATAAGTCAAATATCTGACAAAAGAGTGGAAATGAGAAGATTATATAAAAAATGTTTTGTTATTGTTGTTCCAATAAGTTTAATAGTAAGAACAGAAACATAGACTCTAGATTTTTTTTAGTTCTTCAAAAAGTCAGACTAAGAATATCAAGATTTGACGCATAAAATATCTAAAAACATGACTTATATTTTTAGATAGTCTTCAACATAAATGACAAATGAACCAGAGAAAAGAGGTCAAACAGGTATAGGATAGCTGTAACCTAAACCTTTTTTTTTATATTCCCCCTGCAATTTTTTTCACTAATTGAAATATTTTCAAATTCACATTAACATGATTTCAACACACTGTAGTAAACAAATAAATGGAGGCAGAAGATGTCTTTCAGTCATCGATGCACACATTCAGCGACACACAGGAGCTCTTTCAAGGTGGGCACCGTTTCATTCACAACACCTGTCCCATCAACCAGGAATCAGAATCAGAAATACTTTAATAATCCCAGGGCGAAATTAGTTCCATTACATGACTCCATCTGTAATAGAGTGACTAGAGAACCAGTTTGATATACCACAATTTCATACAATATATAAAATTAGGGGGGCCCCGCTCCATCTCGCCATCAGTTTGGGGGTCCTTAGCCTGGAAAATGTTGAAGATGCCTATTCTACTGCTTTAGCCAGATGGGCCACGCTCATTTTTATTCCATTTTAATATATTTTTGCCTTACTTTTCTCCCCACCGAGATGCATCAGGTTTTACCAGCGGATCTTCATTTCTCACCTCCAGTTCTCTTCTGGTTTTGTCATCGTTCTTTAACCCCTCCATCAATCAATCTCTGTCACATTTTAACCTCCTCCTCCGCTAACTAACGCGCAACAGCAAGGAAATAAAAAAATTTGAATTTGAAGGCAGACACTCCATAGAAACTCATCCCTGCTCTCCTGCAGCCGAATTAGGAATCCGCCAACCTCTCGTCTCGCTTTTGTTCAAAGTCTCCTCTCTCTCGCCATCGACCACACTCCGTCTCACTCCCTCTCACTCCTTCTCTGTCTTGTCTCCACAGCCACAACACTAAGACAACATCGTGGCTGGACCCGAGGCTCGCCAAGAAGGCAAAGCCGCCCGAGGAATGCAAAGAGGATGGTGAGTGCTGCGTGTCCCCGACTTGTTCTTTTTCACACTTTGATGCATTCATTGACGCTGGCTGTCCGCTGCATTCATTTTACCAAAATTCAGCTGTTGGTGTACTTCAAAACAGAGTCAGTTCTGTTGAATCTATACGTTATAAATCCTTTAGCTTGTTTCTTTGCTGGATTATTGCTTTTTTTAGGCACTAAATGTACCGATAATGTCCATGTGTAGCGATTGTGGTTTCTGTCAATTGGAAACTGCTTCCAGAGAGACTGCAGGTCACAAAGACTTCTTTATCCTCATCTGAGGGAGATCTGAAATGTCCTTTAAACGCCTACGCTCTGCACAAGGGGGGGGATGAATATCGTTGCAGCAACAATTGCAGAAAAATAAATAAATGCACAAGCTTCCTCGTCTTTAAGGAATTTTTCCATTAACTCGTGAGCAGAAAAGATTTCACAGTGGAAAGAGTAGAAAGAGTGGAGGAGGAGATGGAGACGGCCAAGAGGAAACTGTTGCTTTAGTGCCTAATTAAGAAGAATTGAATCCATCATTATGGTGTCTCATAAAGTCTAACAAAATAAGCCAGTGGGCAGCATGTTTTACTACAGCAGACAGTATTTAAACAGACAGAGAACTTTATAGTGCTATAGTTTGAGCTGAACACATAAAATGGTTAAGCTGCTGATTTCTTTTCATCCTTACCAAAAATATATGATCGTCTATTAATCTCGTTTAGCTGGTAAACCTCCAAAATCTTCCTCAGACATAAAAAGAGGGAAAAGATGATGAAATGAAACTATGATTGATCCCTTTATCTCTACCACTTCCACCCATGTTCCTCTCTGGAGAACCTCCCAATCCCGAAGATATGGCTGATGTTTCGCGTCGATCATAGCAAGTGTTTCATCAAGTCTGATTTTCCCATGTGAAAATATGTAAAGCTGATTGTAGAGCGTTTGAGCAAGAAACTCTGCCTCAGGCTTTTATTTTTACAACCCCATTAATTCACCATGCAGATCGAAGTCCTTCACTGACAAATAAACCCAAAACATATAAAATCTTTTCTGCATTCAATGCATGATATAAAAAGAAACAGTTAATTGCTTTAATCTTAATCTGTTCCTTTAATTAGTCACCTCTGATCTCGTAAACAGTTCATTAGTCAGGATTTCTGATCAGCTGCAGTCATATTTTCAGTCCTGATTAAAAGCAGCAGCGGTTTTTCTATATTCACATTTTCAGGGAGTTTGTTCTAAAGCTGAGAACCTCAGCTTTAGTTTTTTTCCTGTTATTTAGTTCAGTTCCTGGGAACACTGAGTAAATTACCTGCTAATGTTTAAGCCAGAGACCAGAATCAGCAGTTTACCGACCAATAACAGAGTCTTCCATCCTGTAGTATTTATCCCCTGCAGGGATGAGGAATAGGTGAGTTATGACCCATTCTTTTAGTGTGGTTTGGGATTCTGGTGGCAGCTTTATGGATGAGCCACAGCTGTCTGATGGAATAATCAGCTGGAGACGCCATCACACCAATCAAACTACCAAAAAAAAGAAAGTATTCCGGCCGGATTTCCGGCTTGTAGCAATGGCCCACGAGTAAAAACAAAAATCACTCGAAAATAAATTGACAGTAAATAGAAAAAAAGAAAAGAACGATCAAAATCCCCCTTGCATTTGTCAGCCAATCATCAACTCCTGCACGCTGTGCTCCAGGAAGCTTACTTACGCATCCAGCGGCAAAAAGGTGCTACGCAAACATGAATCAGACCTTAGTCATCAAGCTGCTGTTGGTGCGGTCGCGCAAACTACACGTTTTCCGGGAGCTACGACAACAGCTGATGTACCAGCGTCAATAACGAGTTATTGACGCTGGTACATCAGGCTAAAGTGCATCCATACTAGATATGGATGCACTTTAGCCATCTTCTGGCCATTTTCGGTATTGGATTTTCCAAAGTCACATTTAGTCATCAATCTGAGCTATCTCTATAGTTATGCTGCTATAGGCTTAGACTGCTGGAGGACATAGGGACCCCCATTTCATCATTCCTCACACTAAGCATGCTTGTAGCGACAGTGGAGAGGAAAAACTCCATTTTAACAGGAAGAAACCTCCAGCAGAACCAGGCTCAGTGTGAGCGACCATCTGCTGAGGCCGACTGGGGTTAAAGGAGACAGAAGCAGATCATTCATGCAATCTCTGATCATACAAAAAAAATGGTTTTACTGCCTTTCTGTTGTCCTAAGATGCTTCTTGTATCTCTTTACCTTTATTTCAGGGTCCAATAGTAAAAATAAAATGATTAAATAAGTAAAAGCTTTAAAGCTTTTTTATTGCAAACTCATATTAAGCATTTACATATCTTACAGCTATTGCCTCCAGCAGTAGTTTTCTTTGACTTTTCGGATCAATTGATTTCTGCTTTTCATATTATTTTTAATTTTTTTGTTTATTTTATTCTTCTGTAACAGTGCCAACACATCATTTTTTAGCTCTGGTAATTTATTTCCCACTGCTGTGCTTTTACTCTTCCTTTAATTCTGCTGCTCAGCTCTTAATCAGCAGAACAGCAATCTCCAAACTGCCAAGTCTCTCTTTCATTGCCCTTTCTGGGATTGAACAAGTGTGGGAATTCCCCTTATGTGGCATATTGGGGCGGTAATTATGCAGACTTACATTTCTCGGGAACGCACGCTCTGTTACGCACAAGTTGGCTGAGGATCATTTACTGAAGTTAAGAAAGTTTGTTGAATCTGATGAAGACCATTTGTAAAAAGGAGGTAAAGTTAAATTTATGCCAAGAATGGGAAAATGTTGCAGCAGGAGGCTGGTATGAAACGGGAAATGTGTTTGGAACAAACAGATGGAACTTGATTTGATGAAAAAGACCATTTTCAACCCACACAAGGTTTTTATCTAGAGAGCGAGAAAGTGAAGCTGAGAAACTGAAACAGAAGCTGAAACATCATGCTCCATCTGAGATGATGGACGGTGTCCTTTAGCTTCCCCTCTGAGTCCTTTGTTTGTGCACATTAATTATGTTTTTAATAAAAATTATTTCACTTAAAATACCATCAGAAATCTTATAATATTAAGTAAAGGTCCGGAGCCATTTTTAATTTTTACACATAAACATAATTTAACACTGAAATAAAATGCAGGTGTTTATGCATCCATGTTATACATTGACTTTCTAGATAAACAAAAAAAAAGAATAGAAAATGTTTTTTAAATCTAAAGTATTTTTTTAAAGTAGAAAACAACAATCGTTTGTTGTTTTCTTTCTTTCCAATTTTTTATTTTTTTTCCCTTTCTTTCTGTCTTAATGTTGGCAGTGGGCTTTAGGCTGCCCTGCAAGGCTTTAAACCTGGGTTTGAATGGAGACTAAGCCATTCTCAAGCACATATCAAGGTGCTCATTTTGAGCCTGGATCCAGATTTTTTGTTGATTCTGTTCATGGTGGAGAATCCTGCTTCACAGCAGCAGGTTGAGCCAAACATCCTCTAAATGTGCAGGGTCATCTTTGAGCACGCCATTTCACTTTTCTTTCACCAGTTCACCGCAGTTCTTCCAGCAGTCAACACTTTCTCTGCTCTCTTTTTCTCATGGTCTTCTCCTTCTTTCCCATCGCCCGGCTTGCCACAGGTTTGCCTGCTGTGTCTAAAAGTAGCAGCAGCAGCAACCCAGACTGACAGCTCATTGGCTTATGTGCAGCCTGGAGCCGGACGCTCTGGAGGGCTTTACCGTATTAACAGGAGAAGAGGCGCAAGAGAACTTGCAGAATTTTTTTTTATGTTTTAAATGAGGTTGGGTCTTAGCCAGCCAGTGGGTCCGGTCTGATAATCTGTGACCTCTGCTCTAGAGCAATGGCATATATCAGGAAATATTCCTGCTCTTAAGACACAAGAATCGCTCATCGATGGGAGTAAAACTGCCTGTGCAGCACTTCTTTGTAGGGTTTAGGAATAATCACATATTAAATGTATAATGGCGGATGTTCTTATTCCGGGTTGATCTTTAAAATAAGTGGTCCTGCTAACTGTCAATCATTCTGGTGATATGTTTACGTAAGACCATCCTACTTGCTCATCCCCATTTTCACTTAGTGGTGGGGAGTTTGATATAGTGGAAAATTTGCAAATATTAAATTGCGTGCATGCTCTTGCAGGCGTTTGATAGGCGTTCCCTCTTAGTAGCAGGTACAGGGTTGTGCATGTGCATTTATTTATTTATTTTTTTTATGGAGAGGGCAGGTCTTTTCAAAAATTCATGAAGATCCTCCATTATGCCTTTGACATTAGTGACGCTGATCTTGGTCAAATGCAAAACTACTAAAGCAAAGTAAAGAAAGTAGGACAGAGAAATATCCATGACGTGCGCCTTAAAGCTCTGAGCTGTGCCTGGAATTTGTCTCATTGTTGCCATGCTTACTATAGCTGTTGTTAATTTAATCAGCATTAAAATGGCTGACACTGATTTACAGCCGCCTATGTACTGAACTCTCCAGGAAGCTTGATGGTTTTGGTAGAAATTCTTCAAAAAGAGCCAAAAGAAACCATTACTTTTGGCTCAGTCTAATTTTTTTTTTTTTTGGCAAAATATGTTTAAGAGTGTTTTTATTTTTTGTAATGTTTGCCTTTCTCCTGTTTAATAATATAAAATAAGCATCACAGTACAGGCAGCACAACTTTTAAAATGATTTACATCATCCCATTTTTATTTATAAAGTCTTGGTTGTTTTGCAGAAACTAGTAAAAGTTTTTTGTTTGTTTCTTTATCCACTTTATTTCTCTGCAGCGTTATGTAATCGTGTAATCAGAATGAGCCAAACTCCTGCACAGCTTGGTGGCTCCAGCCACCCCTGGGAGCTTAGCTCAGTTGAGGATGAAAAAGCTACCTCTGTAAATTTAGTATTGATTGGAGGGAAGGTGTGCGTCTGTATTTGAGTCAGAGCTGTGCACCGCCGAGCACTAAGAGGATCGCGGGGTGGAGTCGGTGAGATGTGACG